GGTGAACTCCATTTCAGTCTTTGTAAGTTTGAAAACATCGTGTACACTCACTCTTGTGGGAGTCCTCATGCTGACCTGTGGTGGCACCTCTACAGGAGGGTCTCAGTTCGCCTCTGCTGGGATCCTCTGGGCTTCTCGCGTTTAGGCTAGTTTTCATGTTACTCTTACTGCTTGGGATTCCGAGTCACATTGGTAGTGTGATTTGAACCCCAGGCAATGTAGAATTGGGATTCAGATTTCTCTTGGGTTATTCTGTTTTCACTCATGGCTTGAGGTACTAGGCCAGCTTCCTTTCAGCTAAGTCAGCAGCAAATTTTTTAGTCCCTATCTCAAAGACAGGTGAGCCTACCTTTCAGGGCCTACCTTTATGCCTTGTTCTCAGTCGTAGTTCTCTGGATCGTGGGTGTGAGACCTCACCTGTCCAGGAGGGACCGCTCCTAAGGGCTGCATCCGGCTCCAGTAGCCCTGCAGACCCTTGGGCTCAGCCCCTGCTCAGCACTCAGGCTTTGAGTTACATGGTTGTTGATAGCACTTACGGGTTTTTCTTTATTGCTTTTGAGCCCCGCTGTGTATTAAATGCTTTTCGTCCTATTTCATTAAGCATTTCTCTGTGTCCGCCGTTGTGGGAGGTACTTCCCTTGCTAGCTCTGTCCAGCCTGTTGACCTGAACCCCCAGTCATCTTTCTAAAACTACCGATGGTCCTGCCCCTCCTTCACTTGATTTTTGTGGATTTGTTAGCATTGCTTCGTTTATTTATCCAACAAATATTGATAGATTATAATCTCTGGTAAGAACTGGCGCTATTGTGGTGAGCAAGATATAAAGTCTCTGTCCTCATGGAGTTTTCTATTCTGTCTGGAGAGACAGAAAATGAACCTGTAAACAGTGCACAAAAATGTGAACTACAGATTGTGAGATGTGCTCTGAAGGAATCAGAGAGTGCTAGAGAGTAATTGTTCGGGGGGGGTACTTTAGCTAGGGCAGTCGGGGAAGATCTCTCTAAGGAGGCTGCATTTAAAGCCGAGATCAGAAGGATTGAGGAGAGGCCAGCTCTGCCGATAGTGGAGGGCTCGTTTAGGGTCGGGGGTTAATTCCAGGCAGTGGAAACAGCAAGTACCTCTGGTTTCCCAGAGGTAGGGAAACCTACCTCTGTTAGAGTTGCTGAGGCGCCACCTGTGTGCTCTAATGAGGGGAGAGTGTGCCCCAGTGAGGTTAGTGATGAACGCCCTCCCCTCTCTGCCCACCCTTCCCTTGACTCTGTCACCTTTGCCACATTGTTTCTTCCCCAAATGCAAGGTTGCCTCCTCACAGTCTCAGTTCATGCTGCACTTTGTTTTTCGACTTTTCAGGATGTAATATGGATAGTTGTTTACATAGCAGTGTTCTCCAATAGGCCTTAAGCTTCTGTCAGAGGATATGTCTTATTTTTGATCCCAGCTCATAGCACAATGTTGTACATGGTAGGCACACAAAAATGTTGATTGAATAAATGATTTTTTTTAGCTATCTATGCTTAGGGCTTCCTTTCTAATACCTTTAAAAGAGCTGCTCATAGATAATAATTTTTTTGTGGTGTTTAAACCATCATGGTACAGAAAACCATCAACCTGAGGAGGAATTTGTTTGCCTAAGACTTGTCTCTGATCCTGCAAAGGGAAATCAGGATGTCCTATAGTGTAATATTACACTATAATGGGTCAAATGGTGCCGCCCCTCCCACCAAATATGTCCACATCCTAATGCCCAGAGCCTGTGAATGTGACCTTATTTGGAAAAAAAANCTATAGTTGCTCTTCTAGTCAGCTACTGAACAGGGTGTTCAAATAGCAGATTAATTTATTCCAGCTCCAATCTACCTGCTTTAAATGCCACAGACGCTCAGTAAATGGGTTTATTCTGGAAACCGACTTGGCTAGGCCATCAGTTCTCAAAGGTTTGAAAAAGCCCTGGACATTAAATAAAAACCCTGTTGTTTTTATTTTTTTAATCAATTTTTACTCAATGATTTAGCTATTCCAGTATGGGAAATAATCACGAATATTATGCACATTAAAATCACACTGAATTGAACAACATAAAATGACTAGATGTTCACTCCTTTCCCACTACTATACCCAGCCCTTCCTTTTCATTCTTGGTGAGAAAATATATGGTTTGGTTATAAAGTAATGAACTCATTCTTATAAGAGCTTGGGGATATTTGTCTCATTACTTTAAAGCCATACCATATCCTGAACCCAATGTTTCATGAACTTTTAAGCTTTTATGGAGGGGTTGATGGGCAATATTTCTAACGATCCCAGCTTTAGCTACCATTTGCCCTGTATTCTAGGTGTGAGAGTTGGTCCAAGTCTTACAAGTTATTTGTATAATATCCAAAACAGCAGCAATTACACTTAACTAGTTATCTTGTTAAGGGCAGTGCCATCAGCTCAGTCAACCACGCGGGAAAACAGCATCATTTCTAATGCCTTCTCCCTAGACTCCTGTCCATCTCCACAGCTAAGACAGTTCAGACCCCCCACATCTCTTATCTGGAGAATTGCAATAGCATCCTGATTGGTCACCAATCTCTTTGTTCTCTGATCTTAGTTCATATGCACCTCACCACTAGTTACCTTTTTAAAAATGAAGAATTATCTGAAAAATTCAAAAACTATTACACTGGGTAGTATAACAAATACCTATGCCCTACCAACTAGATTAACAGACATTAACATTTTGGCACTTCTGCTTAAGTTTTTTTTTTTTTTTAAAGAAATAAAACACCACAGATCCTTTTTGTTCTCTTTCTTGGCCCCATTCTTCTTCCTTCCCCCCTCTCCAGAGGCAGACACTCTTCTGAAATTATTATGTATCATTCATGCCCATGTGTTTTTACTTTTACTGTATATATGTGCATCATAAACAATAGATATTGCTATTTAGGTTTATTTCTATTTTAAAAATACAAGTAGTATCATACTATGGGCTTCCTTTTACAACTTGCTTTTGTCACTCAGCATTATTTCTATATACTTATAGCAATACAGATAGATGAAATTCATTCATTTTAAGTCTTCATTATGAGTATATAATATTGAATCCATTCCCTCCTTGATGGACATTTAGGTTTTTTCAGATGTGTTGCTATTATAAAGGAACATCCTTGTACACGTCTCTTTGTGCAAGAGTTTTTCTAGAACAGTGGTTCTCCAAGGGGGTGCTACTGCCTCTTGGTCATTTTGGAATTCATGAGGGCATATTTGGTTATTATGATTTTGCAGGCACTATTGGGGTTTCACAGAGCAGGGCTGGGAATGCTGGATGTTCTGCAATGCATGGACCGTCCCTCACAGTGAAGAGTTATCCTGAATCCTATATAACTTTTGAGTGTCCCACAGGATACTCATTTATAATCTGAGCCTAGAATCTAACTTTATTTTTTGTATAAACATAATGTATTTTTTTGGCACAGATTAATATAGTAAAATTTCCAGGAATGCAACTCTAATGTAAATCAAGGGGAAATTATACTTATTTGTGATTTGGAACTTTAACAAGAGTTGTTCATCACTCTAGAAAAACCACATAACTGAAGTCAGCCCAGCTCGTGGTATTTGAGTTGCCATACAACACACCTGCATCGTCCTGCATTTGTAGCTTTTGCGTTCATGGTGATTCTAAGTTTAGGCACAAGCATCTGACTGCTGTACTTCATTATGTATTCTAGTGTAGTCAGCCTGAACATTTGTATATTTAAACATATGCTGTTTTATTATGAATTCCTTTCCATTTAAAACTGGCTTCTGTGTATGATATAAAGTAGAGATGTAATTTTATTATTTTCTGATTTGGATAATCATTTGTTCCAACACCACCTATGAAACCCACTGTCGTAAAGCCAGCTCTGTTCTGTACAAAGCCCTCATAAATGCATGGATCTGTTTCTGGGTTCCCTATTTCATTCCACTGGCCCATGTGTCTTTATGCCACTATCACACTGTTTTAATTACCTTGGTTTTATAATGTGTCTTGTGGCAGTTGGTAACAAGAAAGGCAAGTTTCCATCCTTGTTCTCAAAATTGTTTTTGCTATTCTTGGGCTTTTGCTTTTCCATATGAATTTAGGATCAGTTTTCAAGTTCCACAAAAAAAATCATNTCAGCATCTTAGCTGTAGAGGGCAGCGTCACTGGCCCTCATATGTGGGATCTGAACCGGGGCCCTCTGGCATCCCAAGCCAGTTCTTAACCAACGTGCCACTCCACCTGTGGGTGATTTATGGCTCTTTTGATAGAACATGCTACAGCTGGGAACAAAATCATGGCAAGTTTTAGTTCGCAGTTAGGTAAGTGCAGTTTGCTAAAAAAAAAAAAGCATGGAGCAGCTCCAGTTCCAGACGCCTGGAGTTGTGGCTACAGAAGATTGACTTGATTGACACTGGTCTCTCCTCCCAGTTCTGTCCTGTGAGTAGAATGAGTCTTGCCTCAGCCTACTTCATAAGGGTAACGGAAGAATAAGACCACATAAAACAAGGCGAGGTAAGAATAAATGAAAACGTGATGTTATCACAACTAGTGCTTTGGACTCGGTTCTCTCCTAGAGCGTCGTTAGGGACCATGATGACCCGGCCTGACCCCTTTCTGGGGGCTCATCTGACTTGCACACGGACGCCAGCGGCCCGGGGACTGAGATGCCCATCAAACCCCGGGACCAGCACTAATGTCCAGACTGCTGTGCCTATCTCTGCACTGTGAGGCGGAGAAAGCGGTTGCCGGGACTCTCACAGTCGGGGCCGGGCTCTACAGTCTCCATAGTAACAGCGAGGCAGGCCGGGAAAACAGTTCTCTTCCGCCCTACAACCCGCCCTCAGGCTAGACTGACCAATGGTCCCGCGGGTTACCTAAGGGATGGTGTGATTGACAAGGGTTGGGCTTTCACGGAGCCGACTGGCTCCGACCAATCGTAGGGCGTAAAGAGGTATAACGTGCCCACCCACCACGCTCTGTGCTGCCTGGAGCCGCGGCGGGCGTGGGCAAATGACGGGCGGGAGTTGAAAGAGCGGCGCTGATTAGTGAATCTAGGACCGCCTAGATGAAAGCCCACTTGTGATTCGTCCTGAGTAGACCAAAGCCTTCGTGGGGCTGGAACCCGCCGAACTGCAAGGTATGAGTGGAGGCCCGGGAAGGAACCCAAGGGAGGGCGGAGGTGAGGAGTGGGACGGCCTGCGGAGAAGAGGATGGTGAGGAGAGAATGGCTGAGGCTGGGGCCGAGGTGACTGGAAGAGGCGGGGCGGGAGGCGGGGCACTGACCCCTCAGACCACCCTGGCCGCCCATCGGGACCCTAGGTCCTGTGCCCAGTAAATACTAAACTGCGGGCAGAGAAGGGAGGAATGTTTTGTTGTTCATGCTTCTAAGAAAGTGAAATGTCAGCGCCTGATTGAATACCTTATGACCCAAACCTTAATCTCTGTCCCAAGTACCCAGGGATAGTGGGCGAACATTGTGAAGGTGACACCGGGAGGAAAGGTGAGACCCGTGCAGTATTCTCCTGTTGCCCGACCGAGCCAGCACAGGCCTGGAGAGAGGGCAGCGTCCCACTGAGTGGGGGTCCACTCTACAGCTCTGAGTGCCCGGTCCTGGGCCGGGATGATGTGGTAACAGACAGGCATCGCCTGGCACTGTCACATGCCAACCAACACAACGCAGGAAAAAGTGAGGAAGGACGTGGTCTGCATCCATTGATTCCTCCTTTCTATCATTTCGTTAAGAGATAATGCCACACTGGTGGCATTTAGGTAGCTTGGCAGTTGATTTTTCCCCGACTTGCATTTTACTTAATTATAAAGGTAGAGGCATCATTTAATATTTTAAAATTCAAACCATAGTGAAGCGTTTAAAGTAGAAAAGTAAAGTGTGGAAATCCGCCCCCCCTCCACCCCCCAATTATTTTTGAAGGTTTGGAAGAGCTGTAAAGGAAAATGAATAGGAATTCCCCAGAAGTTACTTTGCTCTTCTAACCCAGTGTTTTCTGCTGTCTTCATGGGCTTGAGTCTGGGAAAACCCAGGAGTGGATGAGATACCTATCCCCCACCACTGTCACACTAGGGCCATGTTACCCTACATGAAATCCACCTATATACCGGATGGTAAGTCATCACGTAATGGCCATGTTTATTCTCACACACGATGGACTAGTGACTAGTGAATTTTTAATCCAGTAGACTACCTACATATGCAGGAGTCAGTCAACTTAATGAATGCCACTATCAGTTTTCTCTGAGAGCTGGGTGAAAGATATGTAGAACCCAACTGCTAAATGAAGGNTAAGATCAAGCAAGTTTCTCACAAATGCTTTCAGATAACGTCACACATGATTCCAGAACATAAAAGAATTCATCCGGGGTGTTCAAAGTGTTTATGAACCTCCTAAATTGAGCCATTTGTTTCCTGTACTTCATTAATCCTTGCTTTATCTTGCAATTCCAGCACAGGAAGTTAAGAAAAGGTTCTTTCTTAACCGTGTATTGATACAAAGGCGACTCAGAGCCAGATGTTACCAGAGGTTACAAATATGAACAGACGCTGGGCCCATTCATCAAAGAATTAAGATAAGCACAGCCAGGGTGCTGCAGTGACCGTAATTTCATCTTCGATGTTTCTTTCTCCAGATTGTGGATGCCCTTTTCATTGGCCGGTATGTGCTGCTGGCCGTCATCACGGCTGTCTTCCTCGGAGCTCTCTTCTTGGTTCTAATTCATCATATCCTGGAGCCAGTCTACGCCAAACCACTTAAGTCCTGCTGAGCACTATTGGTGACAACCAATACCCCGTCCTCTCCCTTACTTTGGTGTCATTGGTGAGCAGAAAGACACTGTTTGGAGGCTTGTTTTGACAGCCTTCATGCCTTAAGATCAGGAGAATATCCATCCATCACTAAGACGAATCTCTCGAGTCCTGGTTTCCAGACACGGGGCTGCAGAATTGTCTCTTTGGAGATAGATCCTCACCAACTTGAGAGGGATATTACTGCCTTCTTAACCCCTGTCCCTCGGGTTCTCCATCTGTTTTGTAAGGGGAATAGTAATGATAATCTGCTTAGCATGGATTTTCAATCAAGACACCAGTAAGTGGATTTTGGGAAAAGGTACACTTGGCTTCTGCTATCCAGCAAATGAAAGAATTTGATCTTTTAGATAATACATACAATTCTTAGTCATGAGGGTGGGATCATTTGGAAAGGAAAGGGAGGGCCNAACACCTTCTTGCACTCAGGGAGCTGGGAAGGCCCTCGCCCTGCCCCGCGGCCCAGGGCTGAGCAGAGTGCAGGGCTCACCATTCCTCTCCCCGCAGATGGCTGGCACTGTGCTCGGAGTGGGTGCCGGCGTGTTCATCTTAGCCCTGCTGTGGGTGTTGGTGCTGCTGCTGTGTGTGCTGTTGTCCAGAGCCTCCGGGGTAGCCAGGTAAGGCATTCTGTTCCACCGGGAGTCCGCAGTAAAGCAATTAGAAGCGAAATTGCTGATGCTCATCACACATTTAGAATTCAGAAGATCCTTGTTATATTGGCACTTTGAGTGAGTTGCATTTTAACCTCTTATCATAAGCACAAACTGTGTTATTAGCTCTGAAGCAGCGGTGGGAGGAGATGGGAAGTGGTATTCTTCAGTTCTTACTGTAGAGGAGATGGGGGAGCAGTGGACATGGGACCAAAAGAAAATGTGCTTCCACTGCCTCTTGCATTTCTTGGGGTTGTGCGTGTGTGAGCCTCTTAACTGTTCAGACTTACGGCAGATGCTTAGTCCAGTCCCTAAGGCTCTAGACTGGGCCCGGGGACTCTGAAGACACGCTGGATGATGAACTGGCTCTCCATCAGGCGCCGACTTCAGAAAAGAGTCAGGCCATAGCTGACTGTAGGAACGTTACAATGTCGTACTCTCTGGCCACATAGTGTCTTACGAAGCAGCACGTTACATAACTACAAAACATCCTAAAGCGTTCTGCTCTAAAAACAAGCACAGAAAGGGCCGGCCGAGTGGCTCAGTTGGTTAAGAGCTCGCTCAAGAGTTTGAACTCTGAGCAATAGCGGTTTGATTCCCAGCCCAAGCTGAGCAGTTGCTGAGCTGCCAACAGGTGGCAGGATGGCTCAGCTTAAAAAAACAAAACAAAAAACAAGCACAGAAGTGGGGCTGAGGGAGAGGCTGCTTTGGCTTTTCGTGATTATGACTGCGCAGAGGCAAAAGTAAAAACTGCCAATTCCCATTCTTAGGAATTTGCAATGTCCGGGAATAAGCAGGAATGTATCCAGCTGCTACCTGTCTAGGAGGAAGGGTTTGGGATGAAGGGAAGAACGTTTCTAAATTCGTGGGGCAGTGCGGACAGCAGGGCTCCAGGCACTGGTAATGGGCTGAAACCTAGAAGACTGGCCCCAGGGAAAAGTCCATCCAGGCCTGACTGACCAGAGAGGCATCTGGAAACAGTGCTCTAACACTCTGTCTTTTGACCCCAGGTTCTCTGTCATGTTTGTGTTTCTTGGGGCTCTAATCATCACATCCGTCCTGCTGCTCTTCCCCCGAGCCAGTGAAAGCCCAGCCCCCGAGGTGGAAGTGAAGGTAAAACTGTTGGTTTTATTTTGCCTCCTGAGCTGTAACTCTTGTTTGTCTTGGTCTAAACCTTGCTCCTGCCCTGCGGTGTCCCCGGTGTCAGGTTGGCTGAACCGTGCTGGAAGATTTGTAAAGTTGAAGCAAGGATGGGGAAAGTTCAGGAGCAGGTTTGAATTCCCCACCCCGTCACCCAGGAAGAGAATCTTATTCTGACTCCTGTTTGCATCAAGTTGAACAAGCAGTGTGTCCAAAAGCCATCTCATATGTACGACGGGGCAGAGACAGGGAAAATGGGTTCAGAATAGGAATAGGCCTAGTCCTGGCATCAAAGCGTGCCCATTCCCGGTGGCCTGGGCTCAGAAACTCGGATCCTGGGCCTGCATTTCTGCAGTGCCCTCAGGTGCTGAGCGGCATGCTTTTCTCACTCCCTGTGTTTGGAATTTTCCACTTGTGATGTGAAGAGAATACTTTTCACAGAGAACAGCAATGAGGAAAGGAGAACTTTTTTTTTTGAAAGCAGAAGCTGTGCAGATAGATGAATTCAATACTCACAGTCTTATGGGAGTTCCTTTGGTCCTCATTTCTGGACTCACCTGCCAGCACCCACTTCTCTGGATGGATTTTTATCATCTCTCCTAGTCCTTCTCTGGACACCCCACCCATTCTGGTTCATTCCTGGATGGGGCTCGGGCTTTACCATGCACGGCATGGATCTCTATGACCTTGATAATGGTATTCACTTCTTGTGCCCCATTACTTCTTCTATCAGCTTCCTTCCTCTCAAACCTCCACTTTAACTTTTTAAGTAGGAATGGTGATAATATAATAGCTAACACTTTTTAAAAAAAATTTTATTGGGGAACAGTCATGGTCATTGGTTACACATGGCTTTCATGCTACAATGGCATAGTTGACTCTTTTAGGGAGGGCATAGCTCACAGTGGCCCACGCAGGGATCGAACTGGAAACCTTGGTGTTATTAGCACCACGCTCTAACCAACTGAGCTAACCAGTCGCCCCAATGGCTAACACTTTTAAGGGATAATTGTGTGCAAGATCCTGTGCTAAACACATCGTCTGTATTATCTCATCAAAATATCAAAACAACCCTAAGTAGTATGAAGTAGGTACTATTATTATCCCCGTTTTATAGGCAGGACACTGAGGCTGTAAGAGTTTAAAGTAACTTGCCCATTGAAGCTGAGCTCTGTCTTCAAAACCTTCATTGTTAGGGACTCAACAGAGTATTAGGGGCCATCACAGAGAGTTCATAAGTGACTATTTTTACACTAGATAACAGTACACAAAATTATATTACTTCTGAACTAAAATCAGCACGTATTTCCGCCTCTGTCTAGGACTCACCATGGCAAAAGGGAGGACATTTGTTCTGAAAGCCCCCAGGGAAATGACACTTAGCACACAATTGAAGGAATTATTTCCATCCATGCCATTCCATTTCCACCCAATGGTTGTCAGCATTTGAAAACCACTCTGTCGGTGTGAGGACCGTGTGAGTGAGGGCCAGGCTCCCACTCAGCTTCTCTGTCTCAAAGGGGAGAGCTGTGAAGGCCGCTGTGTTTTTGGATTGCTGCAGATGTGAATGTGGAGAGAAGGGCACAGAGCAAACACTATCCTGAAATCAATCCCTCTAGCCTCTGTCATAGGAGTTTCAGACCCAGGAGAGAAGAATGGGGCTTGAGCAAAAGAGGTTCGTCAGCATGGCCAGCAGGATCGGACTTCTCATTTTCAGGTTTGAGAACCCATCCTGCAGCAGCCTGGCTCAATACCTATCAATAATACATGGCCTGGGCCTTCTGCACCCAAGGCCTGCTAATTGGCTAATTAAAAAGTGAAACGTGTCGAACGAGCAAACATGTAGCCCGCGAGAGACTTGTTCAGTACTTGAGCCAAGGTCAAAGTTATGTTAAAGCTGTCTGATCAAACTGACCTTTGCTGTACGTTGGCTGTGTGGGTATCTGTGGAGCAGCCCTTTCTTTGTGGTGTCTTTGGGCCTCGGCAATCATAGCACTGCCCGGGCTTGACAGGTGCTTGGTGTGTCGCCCCTGTATGAGTTTCCCACTGCTGCTGTAACAAATTACCACAAACTTAGTGGCTAACAACACAAATTTATTATCTTACAGTTCTGTGAGTTAGAAGTCAAAATCAGTCTCACTGGGCTAAAACCAAGGGGCTGGCAGGGCAGTATTCCTTTCCAAAAATTCTAGGAATGAATCTGTTTTCCTGCCCTTTCCAGCTTCTAGAGGCCACCCCTGGCTGGGGGCCCCCTGCTCCAGCTTCAGAGCCAGCAAGGTAGCATCTCTGACTCCGCTTCCCTCTTCCACTTTTAAGGACACTGATTACATTGGGCCCACTGGATTCGATAATCCAGGTTAATCTCCCTATTTTAAGGTCAGCCGATTAGCCAGCTCAGCTCCATTTACAACCTTAATTTTGCTTTGCCATGTAATCGAAGATATTCACTATTTCTGGAGATTAAGATGTGGTCATTCTCATGCCATTATTCTGTCGACAAGAATCTCCTGTCAAGTATTTTGGATTCTCTTCTAGGTATGGGATTTTCAAAGCTTCTGGAGGCTATGAAGTCACCCACTCACTTGGTTTATATAGTTGGTCCACTGGGTCTGTAAATTAAACTGCTTTTTTCTGCCTCAGTTTAAGCACCACCATTTGAATCTAGGGGGAGTAGAGCTCTGGCAGCGGACAGTAGACAAGTGGGTAGAGCCAACACTAATTATAGGTTTTTGTCAGCAGAGACCCACAGCTTTGGGGCCTCAAGTATGACTGGTTGCCAGGCAGCCCACTGTATGACATGGGGCACATTATCTGTCCTCGCAGTGTTTTAGTATCTCAGGTAAATGGCCATTGTCCCAAACCCTTGGAATGCTGGGTTGTGAATGTTAGGGTTCAGAAGTCTTCCAATGCAAGTTTTAAAGAGTGACCTTTTCATTTTGAAAATGAACCCTCCATTGGCAATAGAATGATGATTTTTCGGTTTGGATCTTGGGTACATGGGGTTTATTATACTATTGTATTTTTATGTATGTTTAAAATTCTCCATAATAAAAAGTTAACAACAAAAATGAGCCTTTCTAAGATCAAGCAAGTTTCTCACAAATGCTTTCAGATAACGTCACACATGATTCCAGAACATAAAAGAATTCATCCGGGGTGTTCAAAGTGTTTATGAA